CACGACCAAATTTGGTAATGATTTTCTTTTAATGTAATATGTTCGTTAAACTTTTTTGTTGTAAAGAACTTTTATTTTATTAATAAAAAAAAGGAAATAAATAAGTCAAATAAGTCAAATGTATGTTGTAGAAAATATTCTATGAAAAAAAACTTGTTACACGAAATTTACTTAGTCTCAATTTCTTAAGTGTATAACAAAATTCTGAATTTTCAAAATGCTAAGGTTCAGCCAATTTTCAGTTTAAGAAAAAACCAGCTGATAAGTTTTGGAGGATTGAGTCATGAACAATAAAACTTATTAGTTAAATTTTTAAAATGATATAATTTTTTTTTGTTTTAGTATTTTGAAGTTGACCAATTGTTACTATAAGTAAATATATGGGGGACAACTGAATGTTACACATATATTAATCAATTTCAAAACTGTCGCCCAGGGACAATGATTTTCTGCATAGCGCAGAACGCTGCAGAAATCACGGAATGTGTGTTTAAACATGGAAAATACTATAATGTACTGCAGAATACCATAATATAAAAATGTAATTTAATAAGTATAACATGATAATCAAAAAATTATTTTTTATGATGAATAATAGAAGGAGAGGTACAAGAAAAACAATTACAATCAATACTAGAGTAAAAGAAAATCCTGGTGAATTTCGCATTGACAATGGAATTTTATTTTGTAATTTTTGTGACCATTCTGTTGATTGGATACAAAAGTCAACGGTTGATGACCACCTTAATAGTAAAACACATAAAGCTAAGAAAAACCTGTATGAAAATAAACAATGTCAACTTCAACAAACACTTGTTACCTCTCTTTCTTCTTCTGAGTCTAAAAAAATTATAATTCACGATTTAATTGAAGCCTTTGCTATAGAGATATCCCTTTAGAAAAAGTTGATTCGTTACTTAATTTTTTTAGAAAACATTGTAAAGAAGGTGGTGCTATCCCACAAGCAGCAACATTACATCAACTGTATGTGCCTTGCATTTTTCTACACATTTGGAAAATCTCAAAACTCTTTTTTGTCAAAAATCTGTTGCTATAATCATGGATGGAAACTACAGATGCTTGTCAAAGAAGTGTAGTTAACACTCTTTTTGCATATCACAACAATACAAAATTAGTTTCTGTAGACTTTCTTGCACGTGTAAATAATGTAACTATGGGCCAAACACTTATTAACATTCTTCCAAAATATGATATTCCAATTACTTCTCATCTTTTTCTTACAGATTCAGCTGCATATATGAAAAAGTGTTATTGTGAAGTTTTACATCCTATAATGCCACAATTAATTCATATTCCATGCTGTGCACACATTTTAAATTTGATTGGGTAAGATTAAGATAACTTTATTATTATATACTGTCTGTATACAAGTTATTAAAATATAATAAATTAATTTTTATTTAGTGATACTTGGCGTGTGTTTAATCATTTTTCAGTAATTAAAACATTATTAGAAAAAGTCAAAGAAAAATTCACTAGAAGTCCAGCACGTCGTCGTCGGTATATGGATCATTTACAGTTTCATAGAGTTAATCAACCACAAAAAATTCCTCTTCCTTGCAAAACAAGATGGAATTCTTGGTTTCAAATGGTTAATTATACAAAGGATCATCTTATATATTGGCCTGGATTTTTTCAAGCTGAGGTTGAACTTGATGAAACTGAAACATTAAAAACTATTATATCCCTCCTTTCACAACAATTTGGACTCATTACAATCTATATCAATTTTATTTCTATTTTTTCTAAGGATACCGGCTGCAACTTTTGATGATGGTTGCTACCATCTTTGTGTCATATAAAAATGATTGCAACCACCTTTACAACCATTTTGTTTCCTTTTTTGGATTGCGACATGGAACACTAAAATGGATGCAAAGTATTTGTACTGGATCCTGGAAGAAAAGATCTGTTTACGGCAGTGAGTTCAGATGAAAAAGTTGTGAGATGTTCCAACAAGGAGTACTGGAACTTAGCAGGGTTTGTTCGTGCTCGTAAAAAACGTGAGTTGTGGTTGGAAAAAAATAAATATCTTCAGGCTGTTATTCAAGGTGAGCTATACTTTGTTAATTTAATTTGCTGTTAAACAAGAATATCATTGAATAATATTACTTACATACCTTTTGCCTAATACTAATACAAAATCTAGATATTCCAACCTCTGGTGTCACCAATGTCTATGAATATGGCTCTTACCTTGCTTACATTCTGTTTTATCTTGATATAATTCTTGATTTTTATTGTGAACATTGCTGGTGTCGGTTGTGATGGAAATCTTTTATTAATAAACAGAAGGCCTTTGATATTCTGTGCAAGAGAATAACAAATAGCAATGGTGACAGTACAGTTGTTGCATTTGGTGATGGTAAGTTCTCATCAACATCACATGGGCATGCACCAGGCCCTGTAAAAGAATTTTGCCAGGAGCTTTCTAGACACTGCAGGGTGGTGAACATTGATGAGTTCTGTACTTCCTCAGTCTGTTCTTTGTGTGATGGGTGGTTTGATAAGCATCAAAAATTCTGGTCTGTCAGAGTCTGCAAATCAGTCTGTCTGACACATTGGAATCGAGATGTTAATGCTGCCTGTAACATAAGGAACATTTTTTTGCACACAAACACTTATGGAGAGAGACCTGATCCATTTATAAGGGGGACTTACTGACCTCTCTGCTGCCATTTTAACTGTGGCAGGATATGTCTAGCTGGTGGCAGCAGCAGCAATGATGACTTTCTATGAAGCCACAATTAGCTATAGGAGGATTTGGATCTTCCTGATTTAGTGTAATAAGGTTTACTTGTTAATTATTGAATTAAAAAATAATATAATTAATCACGTTGTGTAACCCTTTGTATAATCACATTTACAAATAAAGCGTAATAATTTTTTGTGTAGTCAAAAACTACAAAAAATGGATCAAATTTGGATTTACACAAAAACCGACTATGTTGAAAAAACACCATCTAGAATGGATGGTGTTTCTCTTGAGGAAGAAAGACATATAAGATCCAGAGCTACAAGTTTTATCCTTAATGTTTGCTACAATCTCAAATTGTATTTATATAACCATTTACATATTTTTATAAAAAAGTCGAAAAGATTCATATAACAGTTCGTTTTATTTAGACCACAAGTTACTATAGCAACTGCCATAACCTTTTTTCACCGTTTTTATATGGGTCACAGTTTGAAAAAATTTGATTGTTTTGTATGTAATTTATATATGTAATTTATTGTTTGATTGATTAGCCTGTCATTAATCAACTTAATTAATAGTTAATTGCAAGTGTTTGTGTCTTTTTGGCTTGTAAAGCAAGTGAATCCGAATCAATTAGAAAGATGTTGGATGTAGCAATATCATCTACAAGGGTTTATTTTCGGGACCTTACCAGATTAGAAGAATCGGTATCAATAATAATAATAATAATAATAACAATTAATATTGATATTAACCAGATTCAAATTTACTTAACATTATCACTTGTTAGGAATATGATTACTGGAGAGGGATGATAAAATTAATGGAGCCTTTAGTTGCATCCACCCTTTGTTTTGATTTTAATGTCAACCATCCATATGATATTTTTCTTGACAATATCAGAGAGTTGGACGGTAAGGAGAAAATAATAATGACAGTGATAATTAAATATGATTTTTATTTATTTATTTTATTATAATAATTTTTTTTTTAGGTTATGATAAAGAAATAGTCAAAAGATTAGTTGAAGTAGGATGGACTTTGATTAATGATACGTAAGTTTTAGTTATTTAGATAAATTGATTGAAATGAATTGTCACCTTTTATAAAAAAAATTCCTCTAATTAATATATATATATATATATTTCAGCTACAAGGTCCCACTATGTCTTTTTTATACACCAGAAGCAATAGCAAATGCATCTATATTTATTGCAGCAAAATTTATAGGCATAGAATCAAAATTTAGTGATCTTAGGCAAGGGACAATATCTTGGCTGTTATGTCATGAAGATTTTAAAAGTACCAGTGGTAAATTATAAAAAAATTGTAATAATATTATTAACATATATTTTTAAATACATATTCTTTTAAAATAATGAAACTTTATTTTTTTTTAGATTGTGTAGAAGAAATACTTGATCTGTTTGACATTTCAAGAGCAACAACACAAGCTGCTGATATATATTCAGATAATATAGATACTAATATATATAATCCATCACCACCATCATCTGGGGAGTATTTAGGAGAAAATGACAATACTTCAAGGAAAGGGATAGGAAGAAATTCTGATACACCTGATTTTACAATTAATCATTCTTATAATGCACCGTTTCAATCTATTGCACAACAAATAGAACCTGATGAGTCACCACGTATTTTTCCTGATAATGATACAGATGATGAAATGGAGGATGGACAAATTGTTGATGATGAGACTACTACTAATCTTAATGATGATGATGATGATGATGATAATGCTAAAACTAATAGTAATAGTAATGGTAATAGTAATAGTAATAATAGCAATAGCGATAGCAATAATAATAGTGATAGTAATAATAGTAATAAATCCGGAACAAATAATTTAGATGATCATGATAATGGTGGTGATGAGATTGGAGAAAATGGGAATGAGGAACTAGTTCTTGACTTCAATGATGACATATATGATGATGACATCGAGAATGGCTATAATGATGATGATGATAGTAACAACAATAATAGTAGTAGCAGTAATAATAACAACAGTAATGACAACAACAACAACAACAATAATAAGGATAATGAGGTAGAAATGTTAGATAATACAGTATATGAAGAAAATATTAGTAATAATAATGGTAATAGTAATGATGAAATTGATGACGATGATGATGATGAAAGTGTAGTTGTGGATAAGTAGTAACATTTATAATTTAAATGAAAAAGTTTTTAGAAAGGGCATTGATATAGATTAAATATTGGGTTTTTCTCAATTTAAATTTTTTTTTAATATTTAATACTAATTTTAATAAATTTTATTTTTTTATTATATGAAAAATGATAAATTTTTTTAATTAATAAAAATGAAAACGGACATTAATAAGTTGAATTTTCACAATATTTATCTGTGTCATTGCTTCATGACCTGAATCATCATGTGAGTCATCATGTTTACATTACATTTCTTGCTTTGATGATTTAGTTTTTGATAATTCAGTTTTAATGATAACAACATCTTGTTTGTCATACTCTTATTCTTGTCTTTTTTATGTTTTTTAAAGTCTTATGCAATTACCATTAATTATGCCATTTTTTTCTTTTCAGTCCTCATTTACCAGATTTATACTTTTTACTTGATGATTAGTTTGACAGGTTCTTTTTGATCATCAGTTCTATCTTGATGATTTGGATTTGAGAGATTCTTCTTGGTCATTGGTTTTAGATTTCTCCGTCTTTTTTGCTCGATGGTTTATGTAGGTTTGAAAGATTCTTCTTGTCTTTTTCTTTTTATCATTTTATCATTTTTCTTTAGTTTTTCAACATCTGGAGAGTCCGTTTCTTCAATAATAATATCTGTATTAGTGATATTCACACACGAAGGTGAAGGTAGTGATGATTTTTATTCCGTTACGAAAACCATTAAAAACAAAGCTTATTAAGATACAAACAAAACGATCTTGTCAATTTGAAAGAATCCGGCATTACTTGATCCAGTATTCTTGTAAATATTTTATAAATAAATAAATATTGATTATTAACTTTTCTAATAAATATACTGATTATGGAACCCTTTCTCATCATTAAGCTGATGACGAAGCCAATGCTTTAGAATCTTCTTCGGATTGTTTAGTTCTTCATAAGTTTTGTTGTATTCATAAATTCTGACCTACTAATTGTTTTTATGTTTATAGATAAAGGTTCTGTTTTAATCTTTTTGTTTGATGAAGAAGATTCGGTTTCATCTGTTTCAGAAGATTTGGTTTTATCATTTTACTTGATGATGATGCAAATTCGATTTTAGCTGTTTGAAGGTTTAATTTTGTCTTTTATGATAAATAACAAGTGCATTTTATTACTATTTTTTTGCAAATGTTGATGAATATGATTTTGATGATGATGAATTTTTTCCCAAAACATTAATTCTTTTTTCGGCATCAAAACCTCAGCACGAGCAGACGTATAAGTTTCGATCCGGAAAATTTCCTTTATTTTAATGTAGTTTTTTTTTGCTTTTACTGCTCCCAACTAACATCTTGCAGGTAATTTTGCAAACCTCCAGCGTGTGGTATTAATTTTGCACTAATAACTAAAATTATCTCGTATATATTGATTACGATATTCAGACAAATTAATAATTTGATCACATAATTGAGAAAATAAATCATCTTGTAAAATTTTCTGAATCCATCGATGTTCCTGCTGCCTCTTTTATTTGTTTCTCTAAATCTTCAGGTGGGAATGAATATGCTTGATAAATTCGATGATTGTGCATACGGACAAAATCCAATCACCTTAATAACTTTTGCATAGGCTGGATTGTCTTCAACTATTTTACTCGTTTCTGGAAATACTCTCATTCCCATATGTATTTATCACTTTGTCTAGTTCTTCTAATAAACCATCAGAATGAATAATCATAGTGTCAACTTTATCTAGTTATGTCGTGACATTGGACGAGAAAGTCCTAGTAATATTGCAGATAATAATTATTCTGTTTAGGATTCAAGTTGTTCACGTAGTCCATGATAGATATTTACCCGAAACAGCATGAATCCCTAATTTTTATACTTACTTTAATGTCAAGTTTAGTATTTACTACTGCCAACACATCGCCTAAAAACTTTGATAAATAATCGGTTAGCTTTCCTTCGATAACCGATTTCATTGAAGTTACTGCTTCAACCATGCTTTGAAATTTATGAACGGTCTCAACAGTAATCTTGTCATAAACAAATTATTCCAGACGTATTTCTATATATTATTACTAACGATAAACTGACTGTAATAAATTAAAAAAAGTCAAATAATGATACTGTCGTAGTCAACCAATCCAAATGCCACGTCTAAACTGAATATAACTAATACTAAACTACTTACTACTAATCATATATACACGAATTAATTTTTTTTCATAATACTAACAAAAAAATAAAAAAATTTGCACCACGTCCAAAGAAATTTGTGGGTAGTTTCCCAATTTAATAAGATAAATCCTTTTAACCTAATCTTTGTTGCAAAAACTCCAAAATTTCATAGATAAAATACTTCTGCAACTAGTCGAATCTATTACTAAGAGACCAAAAATTTGCTATTAAAAAAAAAACAATTAAATTAAATTCGACTGATTATGAGCTATAATGGAATGTCAACCTTACTGATCCGTCTATATAGTTTCGTGTGACAAAGTGAATATTTTTTGCAGACTGTATTAGTATTAATACCAATGATTGGTAGCATTGATCCAAATGGAATAATGAATCATTACAAAATTTGCCAAACTGAAAATTTAAAAAGAAAAAATTATATTTATTTTTGTAGTAAATACTGGTGCATGTATATTTTATTCTTGTGTAATTCTATAATTTTATCTTATTATAAATTTGAATATTCCAGTATCTTTAAAAAGTCATTCACAACCAAATTTTCTGCGAGATCACGTTCTGATAAAGGTGGATTCTCTGGTCTTTGTATAATTGCAGTTTGAAAACCTGCTTTTTTTGCAGCATTAATTTCTAATGAATGATATAAGAATTAATATCAAATTTAATAACAATACCAATAATTATTATTGTTCAATTAAATAAAAACCTTTGACATTATCACTAAGAAATAAGATTTTGGATGGCACTGATCCAATGTTTTTGCAAATATTAATGTAACTTGATTCCTCAAGTTTAGAACCAATTGAAGTATCATAATGTCCACTAAAATACTATATAATAATCTGAATTAATATTATTAAAGATTTTTTTTTTTAATAACAGTTACTACCACTTACTTCTAATAAATTGCCTTTATTTGTATAACCAAAAAGTAGTTTTTGTGCAGCTATACTTCCAGAAGAATAAATATAAATTTTTATACCAGCTTCTTTCCATTTGTTTAATGCAACCAAAACATCATCATACATTCTAATAATAAAACACATATTTTTAAGTATCAATTACAAAATAAAGACATTTATTTATTTGATTAAATACAAACTTACAAACTCTCTAATTCACCAGATTCGTAACCAAATTTCCACATGTAACCTTGAAAGGATTTCAAGGCTCCAATTTTCCTATCAGCTTTCATTTGCCATTCGATATTATGAATTACAGATTTTATTACCTCGTCGGTATTTCTATTCAAAGAAATTCAAAAAATCATTTCTATATTTTTCCAAAATCCTACGTTATCATCATCATTATTATTGTATACACAAATAAAAAAAAATACTTTTCATTTTCTTCAGGAATAATTTTGGCTTCGGGCATTCCTTCTTTATAATCTTGTTCTGCCTAATTATATCATAAATCCAAGGTGTGCACGTAAATTAAAAAAACCTTATAACAAAAGTTAACATATCTATATATGCAATTTATTTATTAATAAATTCAAATTTTTCTTTACTTGTTTTCGTAGCTCTTGAACATATTTTTGTAACTCTTGTGATGCCCAGTTGTTATGTAAAAACTTTTCCAAGTTTTTTGTAACGTATGGAAACTTTTATATATGTGTATATATTTACTTATTAGACACTGATATTTTGCTTGTTCATTAAATTAATTATAAATTACCAGTATATCATGAACGAAAGAAATCGGAGTAGTAGTTCCTTCAATATCTAAAACAACATAATTATATGATGATAATTTTTGTTCAGTCATGTTTTTTTAATTTTGTAGATCATATTCCCAATCTCAATTGATATTAACAAGTGGCAAAATTACTTCGCTAAATCTCCCTGACTTTCATTTGATCTTTTCGATATTGAGAGCGTGTTGAAGAAGTGTTGTCCGGTATATATTAACTGATGTTGATGGTTTGTGTAAGGTAGGTGTATAGGTTCTTGAGAAGGGTGGTAAAGTGGAATGAGAAGTTGAGAGCAATTTTGATGCACCAAATATCCGTAAAAAAATCCATTCTACTACTATCATTATCATATTCAGATTGACGGTTAAAAGGCTGACGGATTGCGGATCAAAACTTAGGAATTATTATTATTATTATTATTATTATTATTATTATAGGATATCCGGCACCAAAAAAAAAAAAATAATAGATATATTAAAAATAATCATCTTTATCCAATTAATTCACTTTTCATTGTCCTTATTTGCATTGCTCCTTTACTTACTTGTAACATTACTCATTATGGACAATGATAATGATTATAATGATAATGATAATGATACCGATGACGATAATGTTATGAAAGTGAACCTACAACCAAACCCTCGTTTCAATGAACTTCGTTTCATTTCAACGAATTTTATATTTAATATTAAAATCGTACAACCAATAGTAAGTAATAATCGCGTTATAGCGAATTCACATGATATAATAAAAAAAATTTGTATGAAATTTTTTTTTATCGAATTCTTACAATCATACACAATTAAAAAAATTTTTAAATTCTTCATAATTAAAACTTTGAAAATGTCTCAACAACAAACATCATTAAAAAACGTATATATATATCTGATTTAAAATTATTTGTTTTTGATGTAAGATTATAAATTTTATTATAAAAATGATTTTTTAATAAATGGCGCATAATGTACCAAGTGTTGCATGCATAATTTAATGTTTGTTGCCGCGTAAAACCGGGGTCTATAAGCAGAATTAAGCAGAATTGCAAATAAAATAGGCAAAACTTGAGCAGAAGTAATGCTTTTAAACGCAGCAGAAGTAAGTAGATTCTAATTTTTCTCTCCGCAGAATTCATCGTCCCTAGTTCTTAGCCGAAGTATGCAAGGTTGCGGCAAAATTTTTCGGCTCACGTGCAAAATTAAAGTATGCCAATTCAGTGAAGATGATTGTAATGCGAGAATGACGAATCAAGTTAATGCATAATTTGTATCATGTGAAGGAAGGGCTTACGTACTCGTCTTCTGACCATTAAGTGTAACTTCTAGCTCGTTATATATAAAATCATTGATCGTCCCAAAAAAAAATAGACGAGAAAATTCATTATAGTCATTCTTAGTATTAGTACGAATAAACTTCACTAAATTCATTTTGAATACCTTTGACACTTATTTGCACCATTTTTTTATGAATTATCGGCACATTTTTATATTTCCAAAAGAAAATTCGTTTACTTGTGGAACACGGGAATTACTAAATCACAAACTCCTTTTAGAAATTGGTTTTACCACATCCATTTACTTTTCTCAAAAAAATGGCAAAATTTTGGCGCAGCCATCGAATTACAATATGTCTTCTCTTATGTCTGCTTTTACTTGGTGGAGACTCTTTGGATATTTCTTCAAATACAGGTGATAAAGATCAACCAATTCTATCTGTAGACGCATTTTTTGATAAACTGGATACCATAAACGATCTTAACCAGTTGGTAAAAATTCTGGGTACTTGCGAAAGGTTGCAACAGTTGAAATTTGTGCGGGAACAATTAAACCTTCGATCGGACCAGCAGCAGTTAGTCGATCAGGAACACCAAGAGCTTATAATAAAACTGTACCGACAACTGTTTGGTTTAAGTAGCTCTTACAATCTCAAAAAAGACCTAACCGCGTCGAAAACTATCAATTCGCTCTTACAAAAATTCACACCTGACGAACTTCTCGATCAATTTCAGAACCATTTACCATCACCAAATGACATAATTGCTCCACGAAGATCGAGTTACCGCGAACGTCTGGCTGGATTTGCCACTTTTACAAATATCATTTGGGCCATTTCCATATTCTTGCTCGTATCTTCCATAGCTTCATTATTCATCGCACTTAACCTTTTTGCATTAATACAAAAAATTATACTCTGGGTCCCAATCGCTTTCTGGGAGTTTTTGGCACACACAACCTGTTTTTCGATAATTTATTATGCAGGAAGTTACGACATTAATACCTCACACCGAAATTATATCACGTTAACCGGTTGTCTCCTGTGGTATCCAGCATGGTTGTGGTTTTTCTCGCGCCGAGAATCAATCTTACGTCAAAATTCACCAGAAAATTACACGATAAAAGTCCTCATTGTAATATATGTCATTGTCGCAATACAATATCAAAGTCATGTGATAGGCACGTTAGCGGTCTATGTTATGTTAGCCTCACTTGGGTTCTCAGGACATGTATACAGAACGGTGGCATACATCGGATTCGATTCAACGAATGCGCTGATTCGCTGTAAATTTTTTACCAGTGTACTTCTCCTGGTATACTCGGTACCTATCTACATACTCAACATCGACATCTCCAATACAAAATGGTTAGCGCCTTTCGAGACAGGCGTATTTTTTTGGTGTACGTTTGCGTACCATACCGCGTTATTGATAGATAGCGTTAGGTACACTGGATGGAATCTCCTTTTGGAGATTTTTTCGTTTGCGTTTACGTTATGGTATGGTACCGTGTATAACGTACAGCAAATGAAAAGTATTGGCGGGGCATTTTTGGTCTTTTGGTTCTTTGCTCAAATGGGTAGAATTGATTGGAAAAATGTTAGAATAATTTCCGTCATATTATTACTTAGTGTTGTGCTATGGCAACTTTGTTATGTGATTCAATCATACCCCGATTTCTTTTCTAATCTATTTTCGCAAAAATAAAATAGGATTTATAATATTGCGTGTTTAACTTAAATCAAGAGATGTCAAATTTGTTTTTAATATAAAAATAAATTATCATCACCAACAAATTATTGAGACGTACATTATATAATTGAGGATATTTCTAGCAAAAACTGGTGTAAAACCTCCAGACAAAAATCAAGTTTTCTGCATAATATATATCTATACCACAAGGATTATAACTGGCAAAAATTTTAGATATAAAAAAATTTACTATACTTATATCTGGTTTTTGCTAGAAATCCACCCAATTATATCCTATCATAATAAAATTGTGTGAAACTTGTATTAAAAAATATCTATATACTTTACAATCATGTTTCCAACTGTGTAATCACATATATATAAAACAAGAGATTCCCAAAAAATTTAGGGATACAATATCCATATGATTGTTTAAAAAAAAAAGAGTACCGTTTGGATGTGAATAGTATAGGCAATATTTTTCACACGATCTATTTTTTTTTATTTTGCTAAATAACACACACATTGCATGATTACAAGTTAAGAAACAAATGGTTAATTATTATTATATGACAAAATTCTTGTTACCACAACGGTATTGTGCGACCGAAGCAGGTTCACATATAAGATCAGGTACATATATAACGCGTAGCGTGATCTGATCAGGTCAGGTAACGTGAGCAGTGCAGTACTCCCAATTGATATTCGCGAGCTTGATATCCATTAACAATATACTATTTAAGCTTGTCTGCAAAACACACAAAAAAGCATTCAGGATATTCATTAACATTCAGGGAATAAAATTTTTTTTCTATTCAAAATGGACCTGCTTTCTTGTCCTTGAACAATATAATTTGTTTATTTTATGGATAATCTTTCCTTTAAGAAGAATTATTGCTTTATAGGTTTTCTTTTTTTACCGAAAAATATTTATATTTACAAGTGATGTGCGTGAAAAGAAAATTCTCAACTAAAGCCCCGAAAAACCGAACCGTTCGGAGCTTTATACTCAACATTGAGTATTAGCTTGGGGGAATGTTAAAATCAATTAGGGGTTGGCACCATGAAAAAAATTTTTAACCATGTAATACTAATTGACTGATTAACCGGTCACATGAAAATTGTCAATTGGCTAATTGAATAAAATTCAAGGCACCTGACTGATCTATATAGAAATTTAGAGAAATTGCCTTTTTAAGAGGCAAGTATCTGCATGAGCAACGAGTTTTTAACGTAGAAAAAATAATATTAACTAGCAAACCAGCATATAACTAAATTGCGTGATACCGTTTCATTGTTAATACTTTTTCAAAGTGAAAATTTTGAGCGAATAGCCTAGTAAGTATAGTATACTAATAGAAATTTAAAAAGATAGATAATCACGTTTCGGCGCTTTTGGTTTAGAGGATGATACTGAATAATTAAAGAATCTGAAAAATAAAATATTTATCATCTCATCGAATGGCAAATATTTTCCACATTAACGCACAATAAAATTTTTTTTGATTTAAATATTAAATTTGTTTTTGAATTTGCTCTTCAAACATTTAAATAAAACTAACAAAATAAATTTTTATATAAAGTAAATAATCTATTAAAAAATCAGCTAATTAATAAACCATTTATTTTGGACCTAAACAAATTAAAAAAGTTGTTTTTAGCAAGAAGAAATATTTCAATAAAAAAAAATTTTATATTATAATTATTATTAGCTATCTACACTAACCAATCATATTTTCAGGTTTCACCCATTGATCAAATTGTTCAGAAGTTAATACACCTAATTTAATGGCTGCTTCTTTGAGCTATTATTTTTATTATTAACGAAAAAGAATTTTTTTAAAGATGATCAGCATATTTGCAATAATATAATTATTTAACATAATAATATTTTTTTTAAATAACTTGCCGTTGTATTTTCTTTATAAGCTTTCTTAGCGACAGAAGCGGCATTATCATATCCTTTATTATTAAATCAAATATATTAATTACTTCGTCTTCCTAACGATAAACCAATTAATAATCAAAAAAGCATTTTTTACCGATAAATGGATTCAATGCAGTTACCAACATCAAACTTTCATGCATGACCTTATCAATCTACATACACATAAATATATTATTATAAGTTGTTGTTGTATAAATAAACGGGGAAATAAAAAAACCTAATTGAAAATAATTACTAACTCTTTCTTCATTCGCTTTAATTCCAACAACACAATTTTTTCTAAATGATCGGCATGCATCAGAGAGAATACGAATTGAGTGGAGGAGGTTTTTGATTAAAACTGGCTTGTAGACATTCAACTAACCATAACAAATAATATTTAAGTAATTATATAGAATACTTTCAAAAAAAAAAAAAAAAAAAAAAAAGTACGAACTTCGAAATGACCATTTGATCCAGATATTGTGATTGTAGTATGATTACCCATAACTTGTGCAGCAACCATTGTCATGGCTTCACATTGTGTTGGATTGACTTTACCAGGCATAATGGAAGACCCAGGTTCATTTTCAGGCAGTGAAATTTCTCCAAATCCACAACGAGGTCCAGACCCTATAAAATAAATAAGATTTTAAAAAAATGTTTATTTAAAATGAATAAATTAAATAAATTAATTCTCACCTAGAAGTCGTATGTCATTAGCAATCTTTGTTAAAGAAACTGCAACTGTATTAAGAGCACCACTCGCTTCAACTATGGCATCATGAGCAGCTAATGCTTCAAACTATATATATATAATTTATTAATATCAAAATTGAATAAATAATAATATTAAATAAATAAAAATGAAACTACTTTATTAGGTGCAGTTTGGAAAGGGAGCCCAGTAATTTTTGAAATTTCATTTGCTATATTGACATCAAAACCTTTACGTGTATTTAAACCCTAAATTAGTAATAATAATAATAACGATTTTTTAATATATAAATGTATATATGTGTACAATATATATAATAACTACTTACTGTACCAACTGCAGTACCACCTTGAGCCAAATAATATAATCTTGGTAAGGTACATTTAATTCTTTCTATACCAAATGTTAATTGTTGCACATAACCAGAAAATTCATCACCAAGAGTAAGTGGTGTAGCATCCTATATAATAATTTAGTTAATTGATAAATCTGTAAATCTAAATCTATAATAAGTTATATATAAACATACTTGTAAATGAGTTCTTCCTATTTTAATAATTTTTCCAAAATCTTTTGATTTTTCAGCAAGGGCATCACGTAAATTGGTCAATTCAGGAATAAGTGATTTATTAATCTCTATTGAAGAAGAAACATGCATTGCTGTTGGGAAACTGGTACACATTATTATATGAGAAGAGTCTAAACAACAATATTTTCATTTCATTCATTCATAATATATTGTAATATTGTGTTATTATATACACTATATATAGTAACTTACGTGTCATTGGAAGATTGGCTCATATTAACATGATCATTAGGATGAACTGGATTTTTACTACCAAGTTGTCCGCCTAATAATTCAATGGCTCTATTTGCAATAACCTTGTTTAAAATTAATTAATTGATTATTGATTGATCAATTTATTGATAAAATCAACAAAATAGATGAATGTTATTTAAAAACTTAAAAAATATACCTCATTAACATTCATATTTGTCTGAGTTCCAGATCCTGTTTGCCAAACCACTAATGGAAAATGCTCCATAAGTTTTCCTCCAATAACCTAAGTTAAAGATAAAAAGGATTATTTAGAATTAGAAAGAGAGGAATAATAATAACTATTATTACTATAATCATTTTGACTATAATTTACCTCATCAGCAGCTTGAACGATGGAGTTACCTATTTTTGTATCAAGTCCATAGGTCATATTAACAGTTGCGGCAGCTCTCTTTAATATTCCAAATGCTTTTATCAAAGGTTCTGGCATACGCTCTCTTTCTCCACCTATATCAAAGTTTTGTAATGACCTATAATAATAAAACGAGATAGAGAGAGGACGAAAGATGATGCATACAAAATACTTTATCAATCTAATGAGAAATAAATAAAACATATATTTAATATTTAATATTTAATATTTAATACCTTTGAGTTTGAGCTCCCCAGTATTTGTCAGCTGGGACTTCAACTTCACCTAAAGTATCTTTTTCAACTCGATGCGACTGTGAAGACATAATAGGTAATTAACGATTTTTAACCGATTATCAATGCATATATATCCACGTTCACGTGATACTTTTTTTATTACAATTGATTTTTATCTAGTAATAAAATTAACTCACCCATTGATATGATGCAATGGTAAAGGAACGAATTTGTGTTTGTAAAACCTTTGGATTTAAGCAAACATGATTAATTGTTGATTGTTAATTAATTTTCCTAAAATAAAAAATTGAAATTAAAAATATTTCTTACAGGTTGTATAGAATTGATAAGTCTTATTAACATTATTTTATAATTAAATTTTTTTTTGATGAAAAATTTTTTATTTTTTGTTCTACTTACCGTAAAGTCTGGAAAGATATCACCCCCCGAAAGATAGCACCTTCTAAAAATAGAAACTGAAAAGTAAAAAGGCAATAAGGATGTGTTTCACAGGATAAACAAAAAAAAATTCCTATACACCTCCGCCATACTAAATCATCATATACAATGATGTTTCAAAAAAAAGACAGTAATTTAAGTTCATGGCTAATAAATTTTTTCCATTCATTATTTTTTATATTTAAGTAATAAACTCGTTACCTTTTTTGGTTAATCTTATGCTCAAATTGAATGTCGATCATATTGTAAAAAGGGGGTGCTATCTTTCAAGACTTTACGGTATATACCAATTTCAAAAGACGATGATCATCATCATCTACCTAATACTAATATATTGTAAAAGATTGAATCAACTGAAATTTGTCTTTTATTATTAATCGATTTTTTTTTTCAAATGGTTGAGTATCTCTTAAACTTTAAAACCATCATCATATACATGATTAAAAACAAATTTTAGAAGAATCAGGACTTCGGAAAAAACCATTCAAACGATTGATTGGGAAGTCTTTGACCTCTCGTTTTATACTTTTGTTATGTATCAATTGTCAAAACATACTTATTTTTGATTTTGTAATTTACTTTATATATCCTTAAAACAAATAATAAAATTATTCTTTTTGCGTCTAAAGAATTGACCAGTCCAATTTCACTTCTGACTGATAAATGAATGTAGATGATTAGATTTATTTGATTAATTACACAACAAGGGTATTAGCATCAAACAAGGTGATGAAGACCAGGGAGCAAAATCTTATTATAAAATTCCAGGCATTCTGATAAACTTTTAGAATAGCCATATTAATATTAATATTAATACAAATTCTTTATCTTAATTATTCGTTTAGTTTTATTTGAATTGTCCATTTTATTTGTTTTATTTGGTTTTATTCGGTTTATTCGGTTTATTCGGTTTATTCGGTTTTATTCAGTTCATTCGAATTATTCGAATTATTCGTTTTATTCGAATTGTTCATTTTGTTCGTTTTGTCCGGTCTATTCGTTTTATTCATTTTATTCGGTTTTATTCGTTTTATTCATTTTGTTCGTTTTATTCAGTTTTATTCGAATTATTCGGTTTTATTCGAATTATTCGGTTTATTCGAATCATTTGTTTTTATTCGAATCATTCGGTTTATTCGAATCATTCGTTTTATTCGGTTTTATTCGTTTTATTCATTTTATAAAATATTAATCCACCGTTTGATGCAAAAAATTCTATATTAATATTAATATTATTGTTAAGGGATTTTAACTTTGTAAAATTATAAATAAGGCTTATTTCCTTTAACAAGATAGTATAAATTACAATGATTTTATTTGATAATCTATATTACTACTACTATAGCTACTACTAGTACTATGACTTAAGAAAATGTCGATTATTCCTATTTATTATCATCATTGTATATTGAAACTTCCCTATTGATCTATAGGATACGTCACGCAACCAATATTTTTTTTGTTTACATAAAATCTTGAAACTATATACAGTAGTATCATTAAAAATAGGAGCTAATCAAAAGACAGTATACCGAAAGACAGTATGATTAATAACAGCTGAATTATGAACAAACAGCATATGGATCTTTGCGAATGCTGAATTATTTTATTTCGCTTACTCTTTCATTCATCTATTCATTACTGCATTAACTAAAAGAAAACGTGTAACTTCAAAAAACAGATAATGGGGAAACATAACATAGTTAATAGTAGTAGATAATGGATAATATTACTTATTATATATAACATCATATTAATATTTGTTTTTTCAAAAAACAGATCTACCAATTAAACAATGGGATTGGTAATAAATATATCAATTACTAATAATAATTCTTATTGTATATATATAACTGTATTAACGAGGTTTACTATTATGGTTATTGTTACATATGCAACTGATTTATTGATTTATTATAATGGCTTATTGTTAACGTGGTAAGTAATAATATATTGCTGATATTAATAATAATAATTTATTGTATACATATATAACATTATTATGCACGCGACCATCAAGATAAGTAATAATATATTACTAATAATTCTTATTGTATTAACGGGGTTTACTGGTTTATTGTTACGCGTGGTAAGTAATAATATATTAATAATAATATTTCTTTTCTTCCAAAATGGGGTTTACTATTACTATTGTTGTTACGCGCGTGATCATCAAAGCATAACGCAGTAAGTAATAATATATTATTAATAATAATTTTTATTATATATATAACATTGTGATTAATATTTCTTTCTTCGAAAATGGGTTCATAGTTAAACAATGGGTTATTTTTACACAACAATTAAAGAAAAAAATTAGTTATTACTTTATTAGTATTAAATAAAATGTATTTAATTTAAATAAACAATCTATTTTCTAGTAATTTTAAGAATAAATCAAGTATAATTTAAGTATAATTTAAGTATAGTCCAAGTATGATAAGTAGAAAATAAATGGAAAATAAGTAGAAAATCATGTTTATTTTCTACTTAAATTTGCAATAAACGAGAATGTTTTAAGTGTCTCCCCATAATAGTCAAAATGTGCTTAAATTACACTTGAAATATGTTTAAAACATACTTATTCCATGCTCAAAACATTAATTAAATTCCACTTAAATTAAATGTGTTTTAGTGGTATAATAAGTATGTTTTAAGTGTGCAAACTTTGCATAGGGCTTCATAGACTTTATTTTGTTCATGGAGATCTTTGTGGACCAAATATTCTTATTGGACCAAATGATGATGTAAAATTTACCAATTTTGACTGATCTGGAAAGGTTGGAGAAGCTGAATATCCAGAAAGTTTAAATCAGTTTGTTAACTGGCACCAGGATGCAGGATTTCACAAAAAAATATATCCAAGCCATGATCTCCATCTTGTGAACTGGGTATTGGCAGGATCAAAGCAAGTTAATCTTTATGCATGGAATAAAGAATATTGAATATGATAATATAAGTTCGTATGACAAAAGTCTACATTTTAATAAAGGATAGAAAATGCTTGATTTAGTTATTAATAAAACATATTTCCTGTCTTAAATTTTAATTTAAAATCTGATAATTTTTATAGTTTATCCAATATTAAGAATTCAGAACCAAAGAAGTTTATATAAATTTGCTTTTTTTTTTACAGTATGATTCAATAATGTGATATAACATATTTGAAAACTTAAAGCAGATTTGTTTAATAAATTGATACAAGACTCCTCCTACTCTTTTTGATATAACATTTATTAGTTGATTGTTTTGGAGAGAATACTCTTAGAGCCTGTTCTCTACAGAGAGAATCCATGGGACCAGTCATTTAAATTCGTTGTTACAAAAATTCGCTGAAACAAAAGTGGTAATGATCGTCAGAAAAAAGTTTTCATAATATTTAGGGGTATGTGAGCATAGTGGACTTTCGATTTTATCACTAAATGCGACATAAAGTGACGATCATATTTATATTGTGCAACTAACAAAATTAATTGAAAAAGTACTTTAAAATACTCATTAATGTGACATAAAAATTCCACAAACAAATATGCGTGAAACTTTGCATAAACATTCTTTGGGTGCTTTATATACTGAAAGTTCTTTCCCATCAAGTCCATCAAGTTCAGTTGCAGAGATGAACAAGAAGCAAAGTTTATAGGTTGACGACAGTAAATCTGCATGGAGCTTTCTGAAATTGTCATGATTTTAGGTACCTTTGTTAATGTTTTTATTATATTTTTATTATTATAATTATTTTTTATTACTTGCAATTTGTTATTTTGATTATATTTCAAATTGTTATTATGCTTACTGTGATATTGATTATATACATAACTTTTGTTCAATTAAAATAAAATTTTAAACCATAATAAAAATTACTTGAATTGAATCACTCATTATCATGTCATCAAATTTTAAAAAAACAAATGGAAAATTCAAAATGAGAACATCAAAAAAATGATGAATAAAAAAAAATATATAAAGATATCAATTGCAACAACAGATCTTTTGAAAAAATTTTTTTTAACTACCACAAATTATTTATAATATAACCAATTACTTAATACCATCTAACATAAAATTAAATACAGTAAAAGTCCATGATTTTCAGCCAGAAACTATCATCTTTCCTTTGTTCTATCATTACACAGTAGTGGTAGTTGGAAGTTACCCCCCTATAATACATAAAACACACACATGTATATAGTTAATATAGATTTTAATTATTAAAGAGATAAATCATATATTATTTAGTTATAATTGACAATAATACCATATCCCAAATGTTCCTGCACTTAAATTATTTATCTTCTTCAGTGATCCTATATCACACATTTGTAATATATTTGACCCCAATAAGATTTTCCATGAGTCAATATGGAAGGATCTTATTGGACCCATACTTATAGTATCATCTGTTGGTAACACATGTCTAGAAGAAGATCCATTCTTAAGGTCCAATATGTCAAGTTCACTAATTGAAAAAATTGAAAGATTATCATGGGAAAGACTCAAGGGATAAAGTTTAATAATATGAGGATCAAGGCACAAAGATCCTCCTGATGTCCAGATATTGGTGCCATCTTCAAGATTCCAAGATTTATGATTCCATCCACACTTCTACTGATACATATTTTCCTCCTAATGT